CTTGTCAGCAGTCGTGCTACTACTGCTGCTGCTACTACTACTACTGTTACTACTACTACTACTGTTACTACTACAAATACTATTACAACATCTACTACTACTACGAGGGCGGAGGGAAGGATGTTCTACTGGTACTATGACGACTACGTACTACAAAATATTTGGAAGTTTAACTGCAGTTACTGTGCGTGACCTGGTTCCTCCTCTGGTGGTTCCTCCTCTGGTGGTTCCTCCTCTGGTGGTTCCTCTGGTGGTTCCTCTGGTGGTTCCTCTGGTGGTTCCTCTGGTGGTTCCTCTGGTGGTTCCTCTGGTGGTTCCTCTGGTGGTTCCTCTGGTGTGACGTGGTGTTTCTGTCTCAGGACTATGATCTGGGTGTGCTCCATCGTGGCCTCGATAACAGACCTGACATCTTCAGGAACGACGTGGCTCCATCTCGTGAATTCATTCAGGTTCCTCAGTATCGCCCAAGACCCGCCAACCCGGACGAGATCGGCAACTTCATCGACGACGTAAGACCACCAATATTTCTCATTTCCTCACCGGAGCAACAACCCAGGACGTTTTTGAACCACACGCTCAATTTAAAATCCCAATATTTTCCCAAAGTTGTACGGCCAAATTTTGGATTTACGGTTTAGTTTTAAGAGAATTCTGTTCAATTCACTTTTCACGTTTACATGAGAGCTTGAATTCTATAAAAGAATCATTTAACTCTGAATAAAAATGAATTCCACTTTAAAAAGTCCATGTAAACACTTAATTCCAAATAAATTATTTGGAATTAAACTTAATTCTGAAGTAAGTGGGTGGTTTATTCAGATTTTAAAGCTGAATTTATTTCAGCTCACAGACGTAAAGTGTGATGAGACGATTCTCCAGCTTCTGCGTCACAATAATCATCAGAACCACGTGGGGAAAGTTTGGACGGTGTTTGTGTCGGTGGAGAAACGACAAACCCACATGAGAAAAGTCGGGAGCAGCTGAAGTTTGTGTTTTCTTCACAAAGACGTAAATCCGTCTGTGTCTCTGTCCAATCAGAACCTCCCCCCGACGCTCAGCGGAGGGTTTGACATGTAAATCTCAGTTCAGAATTATTTCCGTGTAAATTCGAAGGAGAATATTTTAATTCCAAAATATTTAATTCAGAACAATTCAGAATTTTAAAAATCATGTAAACGTTTCCATTTACAGTTTTCTGTTCTAATGTGTTTATCACACAAACCCTGCACATTTAGGCTGAGTTCTTCTCTCAAACTGAAAACACTCTGTTCCACCTTGTGATGTCATGAAGTGGTGATACGGGAAGTGCTCCACTGTGTTTTTAAACCCCACACATCTTCACTAGAATCACTTTGAGCATTTCAGCCCTGGAATTGTCGATTTCTACTGAACTAAACTGAAAAGGAGCTGTTCACTTAAACGGCCACTTCATGACATCACAAGGTGGAACAGAGCGTTTGGAGATTTGGAGATGTAACAGATTCATAATAAAACACTCAAACATGTGAATGAAACATCTGCTTCATCTGTGTCTCCTCAGAACCTGAAGGCGGCGGATAACGACCCCACGGCGCCTCCGTACGACTCGCTGCTGGTGTTCGATTACGAAGGCGGCGGCTCGGACGCCGGTTCGCTCTCCTCGCTGAACTCGTCGAGCTCCGGGGACCAGGACTACGACTGCCTCAGCGACTGGGGTCCGCGCTTCAAGAAACTCGCCGACATGTACGGGGGCGGAGACGACGACGACATGATCTAAACCCACAAAAAAACATTACAAACGCTCACTTTTAGACTAGTTTACAGAAAAGTCAGCGAGATCCAACCTTAAAGATCCACTGTGTAACTTTTTGGATATGGAGAAGTGGCTGTTTGGTTTAGAATGTTCCAGAGTGTGACTTTAAACAACTTTACTTGACCTTTATTCAATTACAGGTGGTTTTATGTCTCAAAAATCCTTAAAAAACAAACATTCTGACTGTGAGTGGGGTCACCTCTCCACAGATCTGACCTGTAACTCTGTCTGGTTTGGTCTCCATGACAGCAGAAAGGTTTGATGACATACTGAGGAACATTCTAGTCTAAGAAATAACATCTCTAATAATAACACGTTGGTTTTATGTAGTGCTTTTCTGGACACTCAAAGACCAAAAGTGTTTGAAGAAGCCTCCAGCAGAAAAGTTCCACAGTGCAGCTTTAAGATCTGCATAATTTTAGGACGTTTTTTTAAGTCTGTTCAGAAATGTAAGTGCAGATTTAACGGAACGATCTTCAAATCCAGGGAAATGTATTAAAATCTGACAAAAATAGCTTTAGAACGTACACAACGCCTTAAAGCGGAAATATAAGACTGTTCCCTCGTCACAAACCCCAGGAGCTTCTAGAGTCATCCGTGCATGTTTGAGTAATCTAGAGATCTCTCCTGTGGCCTTTTCAAACCCAACAATTCTCCATAAATACACTGCAAAAAACATTAAGACTTAAAGTAAGAACATTTGATTTTATTTGAGTCAATTCAATTCCACAAGTAAAATTATCGACCAATGGAATAAGTGTTTTTCTTAAATCCGTGTGTCATTTGTTATTTTAAATTTCTATTAAGAAGAAGAAAACGATGAAATGGGAAAACGGTTCATTTCATTTTTCTGTTTTAGTGTCAAACAAAAAAACATCTGTATTTATAATAATTAAAAGTTTATTTCTGATTAACTTTAAATCAAACCCCAGAGAGAATAAAATATCAAAATCTGTAAAACAGTCAATGGATTTTAAACAGGAAATGAAAATATTTTGTACATAAACGTTGAATTGTGACGAGTGAAATAAGATTGAAGAGTTGGATTATCAAAATTAGTGTTATTTGAAATTAACTTTGAATTAAAATTGGAAATGGAGAAAATCTGTTGATCTGTTTTTTAGTTTGACACTAAACCGGGAAAATGAAATAAACTGTTGTATTGTTTTTCTTTCTAAATTGAAATTCAAAAGAACAAATGGGACACAAACCTTAATTCAAGCAACATTAGATTTAGTTTTATTCTAAATGGAAAGAGTTTTTTTTTTTTTAACGCAGCAACATTTATTTTCATATTTAAACTACAAAAAGTCTTGTTCCATCGGGAGATAATTGTACCTCTTCAACTGAAACTCAAATCATGATCAAACTTTCTTGATTCTGGTCGTCTGAACTTTAGATTTGAGTTTTTGCAGCTCCGACTGTGTTGCGATGGTGCTCTGAAGGGGGAGGGACTTAGCATAGAGAACGAATATAGTATTTTCGAAACGATAAAAGAAACACGGTGATCTGAATGTGACGTGTTCGAGTCACGTTCCACCGATTTTAAAAAAAAAAAAACAGCGCTGCAGTTTGGAAATTTTACATTCAAATCTGAACTTCGTCTGAAAAATGAGGGAAATTCGGATTGAAAAGGACAATTTTACCAAATCCTGAAACGACCGAAATATGACCAAAGGACGGCAACAAAACCATCCAAAAATGTATTCCATATTTGTTAGAATTGCACATTTTTCTGACTCAAATATATCGAGTCTTCAAATTAGTTTTTAAAAAAAAATTCAGCTCTGGAATGTTTTTTCGTTTAACAAATCAGAAAATTTGGTCAAAACATTGAAATACAATATGTCCTCCAGATTTTCTATTAAAGTCTACTGATATAAAAACTGTTCATACATTGTTTTTGGACGTTGCCATGGATACGTGCCTCTGAAAACCGAGCTGCCGCCATCACGAGGTCACGGCAGATGTTTTGTTTTTGGCGCTTGAGCTTTAGGCGTTTGGCGAGTTCAGATTTTTGAGTTCGAAGCCTGTTTCACCACAATAACGAACAAAAACGACGGAAAAGCCAAAAAGAAGCAGTGGAGCAGTTTGTTTAAAACACGACTCTTACATTTGTGTAGAAAATATTAAAAGAAATTGTTTTCATTTCCTGTTTATTAAAGAAAAATCCATTGGCTATTTTAAAGATGCACTGTGTCACTTTTCTGATGACCTGCTTGTTTCCATGGTGACGACGTTACTTTTAAACTTCAGTGCAAAAAGTACGAGAAAACGACTTCAAGAACAAAAACGATGCAAATCCACAAAGTCAAACACGAGTTTAAACGAGGAACAAACGAAGAACGTGGAGCAAACGAAAAAATTGTGAAGACAAACGTGTCGTCGTCAAAAGTCTGTGTCATTCGTTCTTTTGTTTTTCAAAATAAAACCAAAAATGTAAAAAATGAATTTTTTATTTTGTTTTTAAATAAAAAATGGAAAAAACGGATAACAGTTTCCCGTTTCCGTGACTTAAACTGAAATGCCAGACTGAACCAGGACCGAACCGTTTTTTGTCCCAGCCTCAGTCCTGGTCCGGGTCTCGGTCCTGGTCCTGGACCTGGTTCAGTCCGTATGTGGCACAATAATCCGGCATCTCAGTTTAAGTCATGGAAACGGAAAATGGTCGTAATCCCTTTTTTCCATTTTTCATTTAAACACGAATCTTTATCCGTTTTTTTCCAGCTTTGATTTTGTGAGGTTTTTTTTTTAATTTATTTTGGTTTTGGAGACAAATAGTTGTTTTTTTTTCATTTTCTTATCTTTGGTTTTATTTTGAGAAATGAATGAACGACACGTGGATTATCAAATGCGCCACAAATAGAAAAACGCCACATAAAACGACCGACTGACGATAAACTAAGAAACGACATCACGAATCTGTTAAAATAACGATTGACGTGTAAATGTGTCACTGTAAAATCTGGAGTAAAATACGATCAAATAAAACATCTACAGGCAGATTTATATTATTATAAACACAGAGAGCGCCCCCTGCAGGCTGTGGCGACTCTACGCCGCGTTTTTCTGTGTTTTCTTGTTTTGCTTCTCTATTTGCGGCACATTTGACGACGGCGCGTTTGTCTTCACGTTTTGTCCGTTTGCTCCACGTTCTTTGTTTCTCGTTTAAACTCGTCTTTGACTTTGTGAATTTGCGTCGTTTCTGTTCTTGAAGTTGTTTTGTTTTGTTTGCGCCATCGCGTTTGGCCGCCGTCAGACACCGTTCACATCTGTGGAGAAGCGACCGCTAGAAATGTTACACAGTGCAGCTTTAACAAGACTCGTGAAATCCAAAACTTTAAAAACTTTTTGTGCCAAAAAAAAAAATTTACTTTTTTTTTTTTCCCAGATAATATTCATGTCCGTTCCGTCGTATCTTTAACTCTAAACGTTTTACACTGGAGTCTTTTTGCCGTTCTTGTTGTGAATCAGGTTTAACTTTACGTTGAGTTGAAAATGTTTAATTTTTTTTACAGTAAGTTGCTGGTTTTACACCGGACGCTCGCTTTTGCACTGTCACGCCTTCCACTTGTACAGTTGCTTTGAGAGGTGTTTGAGTTTGTTCTGAAATCCTTGGTGGAGCAGAAATCTGAAATGTTTGAGTTTTAAAATGTTTTGTGTTTGTTTTTCTCGATGCCTTTTTCTTACACTGTAGACGACACAAACGCTGGTGTGTGTTCTGGTTTGTTTTTATAAAGTTATCTTAATATACGACTGTGAATGAGTGGGTTTTTTATCTGCAAATAAAAATTATAGTTAATATTTGAAAAGTGTCTCATTTGAGTCATTGTTTGGGGAAGAAGTTTCAGAATTCTGAACTGGGACACTTCAGAGTTCGGATGTTTGGTAAAAATAAAACTGGGAAAAGAACGTGAAACTTGGATTTTCGATTCAGTCATGATCTGAGGGACGGACCGGGACAAAGACTAAACCAGGACTAAAACAGGACAGAACCAGGACTTAAAGGCTACAGCAGGACTAAACCAGGACCAAATCTAAGGGATATCTATATTTTTAATTTATTTATGGTCATTCACAAACAATTTCTGTATTTTGAAGAAAACCACACAAGACGTCTCTTCTGGCTTCTATGACTTTTATATGTAGAATGGGTTTGGATTTAAGATGAAATAAGATTTTTATTTCTCAGTTTCATTTGACATCAAAACATTCTCTGTTCCATGATCATTAATACAGATGAGTTTTAAAATGAGGATTTTTTTATTGTAATTCAGTTCTTGGTTCTTGGGTTTAGTCCAGGGTGGATTTATTTTTTCCACATGAGAAACAGAAAATATTGTAGAGACCAAAATGCTGAACTCAATTCTGCAGAATATTAATTGTAATTCTTTATAAAATGAGTAAATGTCAGTGTTGTTGTCGAGCTGCTCAGACTCAAGTAAAAAATGTAATAAAAAAAAAAACACGTCTAAAATAAAACTCTTAATCCTCTTCGTCTGCTCTTGTAAATCGTTCATGTAGTTTAATGTAAAACATCTGAAATCAGAAGAGGGAGGTTACATTAAATAAGTTTTCTTTTTTTTTTTTTTTGGTTATTTCTATTATAATTTCACTAATGTTCCATGCCCAAAATAAATACACACATAAAAAAATATAATGTAAAAATAATGCAGCTTTAGTCCCTGAGGTAAAATGATAAAATAAGTTTGACCGGCTCCTTTAAACTCATTTAAAATCACAGTCGACCGAAGGACCGAACGTGGCTCTGGGGCTGGACGAGGACCAGGTCTGGACTAACAAAAGTCTCAATAATAAAATGATCAAGTCAAATATTTCTGAATTTACCTTTTGGATATTTCATGGTTAAAAAACTATTTAATATGGATCCATCTGCTGCTGTAGTGCGCCCCCCTGTGGCCGCTCTCGTGTACTACACTTCACGTTCATTTAAATATCATTATTATTAAAGTTTATTTTGTGATTTAACTTTTTTAACTGTTCCTCACTTCGGCCGCGCAGCAAAACGACGAACTGACACGAGTGGCACCAGGTCGTTGTTTTGCAAGTCTCAAGTCTTTGACCTCAAGTCCGAGTCAAGTCCCAAGTCAAATACCGGCAAGTCCAAGTCGAGTCTCGAGTCACTGGCCCATAAGTCCAAGTCAAGTCCAAGTCAAGTCCGAGTCGAGTCTCTTCTGCTTTGAGCTTCAAGTCATTTCAAGTCTTTAAACCAAAGTATCAAATCCAGCTCAGATTTTTGATTTATATGAATTTGAATCTAAATTGTACTGAAACAGTCACAGTATATTTATATTTTAGTATTTATATAAAAGTTGTAGAAATACAAATTTTTCCTTTTTAAATGTTTTGACAAGTTCAAGTGTGAATCTTCACGATCAGAACAAAGAATTCAGATTTAAAAGAGATAAATAAGATATTTTCTCGTGTGTTTGCACTGAAACAGACGGATCATGTTCTGTTTCCTCTGATTTCCTCTGTTCTACTGTAAATACTGCAAATACTGTAAATACTTCTGAGTATCTCAGAACTTCAGTTTCATCCAAAGTACAAACAGAAGTGGGAGCAACAGTTCAGTTTGTTTCTGTCAAATTAATCACATTTATCAAGTGTAAAAAAAGTCGCTTATAAAAAAACATCAAGTCTTCTCAAGTCACAGGGTTTAAGTCCGAGTCAAGTCCAAGTCTTTG